CGGAGCGGGTTGTGTACTCGTCTCCGAAGAGGAAGGTCCGGGTTCGTGCCTCGGTTTGGACACGGATTTTTTTCGCCCCCTCCTGCCCACCCAGCAGTAATGGGTACCAGGTGACTTCGAGTTGGGGAAGTAAAGGCGGCGTGGAAAGGAACTGGCCACCCTACCACAATAATTATACCGAAGGCCCAGGAAGTTGTCTCACTAACAAGGCAATCTCCAATGTCCGGATCGGATGCGGGAATAACTTTTACAACAACCTAGCTGTATCCAGTACATTGTAATCTTAATCCGCAACAATTGGAAAAGGACGTGTAATACTGAGGCACCTCTTTAAAGAACCGTGCAGTGTTAAAAAGGAGTGTTAAACTTATACCACTACCATAGCACCAATGTTGAATGAATGAGTTTTCTTTTTTTTTTTTGCATTGCAGAGGGTGGTTGGTGGGTACTCTGGTGTGGCATGCTCCTTCATTTCCATCAAACATCTATCATCCTTATCTCTCCTCCCTTCTTTTTTGTGTTTGTCACTCTCTTGTAACGCTCCCATTCTTCGGCACTTCTATGACCTTATTGTGTTGCAAGCACCCTATTAAGTATATATAACAACGTTTCTATTGCACCATGTATATTTCTATATTATGCTTCTTGATGTGTCATATTATACTATGATAATTATTTTCTGAGTGCTTTAAGAAACCCACCTCCTATGTGTAAAATAGCCCTAGTTCTCACGCTAGCTAACACATAATGAGGTCACAACGAGGTGGAAACAGGCGCTTGATAACAGTTGGGCATAAAATACAGTTATTGATTTCATCATAAAGAGCTTGATCATTTATCTTGCTTTCGATTTTAAAAAATAAACCATCATATTTATCTTCAATAGAAGTGGAAATATTTATGATTGAAGGAGGTTGGGGTAGTGGGTGGTGGGAGGGAGGAAGGGGGTTGTCTGATGTCAGATGTAAAAGTGGTGAGCATATGGCCACCAAAGTTTGGTAACTTACAAAGCTTTAGCGTCCTTAGAAACTGTACATTGGCATCTGTTGTGCGTTTAATCAACGCTTTTCAGTACAATCCACAAATAATTGTGTATTTAAATGGGCATAAAAGGTGTTTTAATTTTTATAAAATTTAATCTGTAAAATTTGCATGATTGGCGGGAAAAATATCAGTTTCTTCGATATTGTTTTTGACAAGCGCCCGACTTCACCACGATGCCTCACAATTATATATAATAACCTGATAACATTCTTCCTACAGTGTGATATTTCCTGTTTCCTTTATGACTATACACGACATGTATACATTTACTAACAATTATACATAACCTGACAATATCCCTACAGTGTGATATTTCCTGTTTTCTTTATGACTAT